TGTGTTCTGGTTTGAACCTCCACCTATATATATATATACACACACACACACACTATAATTAATTGGGTTGCAAGGGTTGTACAAATGCATAAGGTTGTAAAAGAAATATACCCTATATATATAGATAAATAGATAGATGGGTTCATTTATTAACCCCAATATATGGTGTTAACTTTGTGAGTAACTTTTAATCTTTGTAATCTATGAATAAAATTCATCATGGCATTTTTGTGGCAAATTAAAAAAGGGTGCTTAATAAACATAGGTGCATAATCATGAAGAAAGAGTAATTCTGCTAAAAAGTAAGAAGATTTCTTTTAGCATTAATTACTTTTCCGGCAATTACTTCGTCGTTTTGAAACTGACATCAAGCTTTAATTATTCTTTCATTTATTAATATGTAATGTATAACTTATGAATGATGTCAATTAATGAGCAATTGTTACATATGAGTAGCTTATGAACACCAATGAAAATATAACATATATGAAAATGTTCATTAGTGAGCATATACCTGAATGTGTACGTATGTGTGACTGTTGAATAGTGTTCACCCATGAACAAGTTGTCAACGTGAACAGTGTTCATTATTAAACATATAGTACACACTCATTCATGTTAACTGCTACTATGCTCATATTGATCATTCATATTATACGCTATACTAGAAACAACGAACTCATTCGATTAAGAATGTTGAGTGTATACATTCGTTTATGAACAATCACAAACAATATAACTTAGAAACAATCAAAATGGCTAAATTCAAGGAGTAGTATAACTCCTATTTAAATGTATTAAAGTAATATAAAACATAACCTTACTATTTTGCCCTCAATCATTAATTATATAAAAAGCTATGAACTATGGTACTAAATTGATTCCTATTGGTCTAGAGAGTTTGATAGTTAACACAAATGAATTGGTTAACAAAAGATCGTACCTATATATATATATATATATATATATATATATATATAGAGGAACGATCAAATGAAAACCACTTCAATTTGTAAAAACCGTAAAAACTACTATCATCCGTCGTAATCTTATGAAATTTATTCATGAAATTGTTTAATTTTGTGAAATTGTTTCATATAATACTTTTTTTTGATGAAGTTGTTTCATATATGGTTATGAAATTGTTTCATATACTACTTAATGAAATTTTAATGAAACTGTTTCATGTATTTCTCTAAAATTAAAAAAATGAAGATATAATATTCATGATTAACATCCTCCACAATAAAAATGATTAATCAATCTCTTATAATTACAAAAAAAAAAATGAACAAAATGAAAAATTATGATTGGTGGAATGAAGTTTTTAAGGTTTTTACAAATTGAGTGGTTTTCGTTTGATCGCTCCCCTATATAGATAGATATATATATATATATATATATATATATATATATATATATATATATATATACCACACACACATATACATATGTATATATAGAACAATGTTCATTTGAAAAGTGGTAAGTATTTGAGAAGTAAGGAAGTGATCCTAGTCATTCATCTAGTCAATATTTGTTGATTTTACTGTGAAAAACCGGATAGATGAGTAATTTCGTAACTTTTACAAATAGACGACAAATGGGTTTATATGTGAATCCACGTGATTCACATATGAACCCACAAGTTTATATGTAAATCAGTTAATTAATTCATATATGAATCACAAATGTTCATATGTGAATCAGTTAATTAGTTCATATGTGATTATCAGTCAAATAGTTCATATGTGTATTACATGGGTTCACGTGTGAATCACGCGGGTTAACATATGAACATCTTTGCTGTCTATTTGTAAAAGTTACAAAACTATCCCCTCTATTTTTTGTATAGCCGCAAAAATGATTAGTCAAAGCCGCTACTCTTGACCAGTTAAATCCAATTTTAACCGTATGAAGGCTAAGATCACTTTTTTACTTCTCAAATATTACCACCTATCAGAATAACTTACGGTTATATATATATATATATATATGTATGTATATGTATATATATATATAGAGAGAGAGAGAGAGAAAGAGAGAGAGAGAGAGAGAGATATATATATATATATATATGTATGTATATGTATATATATATATAGAGAGAGAGAGAGAGAAAGAGAGAGAGAGAGAGAGAGGAGTGATCATATGAAAACCGCCCTCATTTGTGTAAACCGTGCAAACCACCTTCATCTGTCGATTTCATTGTTTAATCTTATGAAATTTTTTCATGAAATTGTTTAATCTTGTGAAATTGTTTCATATAATACTTTTTTTGATGAAGTTGTTTCATATATGGTTGTGAAATTGTTTCATATAATACTTAATGAAACTGTTTCATGTATTTATCTAACATTAATGAAACTGTTTCATGTATTTCTCTAACATTAATGAAACTGTTTCATGTATTTCTCTAAAATTAAAATTATGAAGATGATAATATCTATGATTAACACCCTCCACAATAAAAATGATTTATCAACCTCTCATAATTACAAAAAAATGAACAAAATGAAAAATTATGATTGGTTGAATGCTGTTTGCACAAATTGAATGGTTTGCATTTGATCGCTCCCATATATATATATATATATATATATATATATATATATATATATATATATATAAGGAGTATGGATAAGCATATAAGAAAGAATATGAATAAGCTATACAAAAAAATTGATGATGAAAAATGAGTTATGAGCAAATAAATCAACATATTCAAAATATTGAATAGTAACAAGGATATTTTGACGTACCAAATATCAATCCGACCAACCCGTACAGTTTGGATTGAGTTGTTTTCAAACCGCAAACATTGGATCAGATTGTTAAAATGTCTTCAACCCAACCCATAAACACCCCTATCCACAAAATCTTCCTCTTACTTGTTTTGTAGGTTTTTCTGCCACTTGAAAAGGAACCGTAAAAAAGGAGATGTTACATATTCAACAAACAATCACAAAATACAACAATAATTTAGTCACAGGACTATGTCATGTCATACCAACCTTTCACGTGGGAACGTTCTCTGCAAACACAAATAAGGCAAAAGCTCCAACTTTATTGGTTTCTTTTTGCTGTTGAACTAACCCCTTCTGGAAACGACAATCCTGTTTACTAAACTAGAGGGAAGAAAATGTAAAACTGTAGATCACAATTGCAAGCATAAAAATCTAAATTAGTTGCATAATAACATGGGGCTGCGGACCGATCAAGCACCAAGTATGGTCTCTTGCATCCGTTCAGCTTCTTTTTGTAAGCATATTTTTTTACGGTATGAAAGTTTCACTCTTTAAACTCTGGAGGGAGGGTGCTCCGGGATATTATAAAATACAAGAAACATCAACCAAAAAACTAAAAAAATCGCAGTAAATCAACCAAAAAACTTAAACAAATCCCTCGAAACGGTGGCATTCGGCTAAAACACTCGGATGACTTTGTGAGCTTTTGATCCACGGTACATTCACTCGACCGAAGTCTGGGATTCGCATTGATAACTTAAATGGGATTTGGGGAGCAAAATCAACAAATGTAGATGTAAAATGAGTTTCAACACATGGACAAATAATAACCACTACAATCACCACAAAAACCATTGACACAACCTTTCTCTTAGCATAAAAATGGAGAGACATATCCTTAAAAGAAAAAATAGCAAATTCTTTTATAGTTTGGATTTTTTATTTTCTAAAAATATGCAAAATGATTAAACGAGAGAGGAGAGATAATGTAAATTGATCTTTATTTCGCTCTTACGGAGTAAGATTCTTGGTATTTACCATATTCATCCGATAATATAATATGACTTGGTAAGTGCTTACTCGGGTAAACATTTGATAAAGAGCCCCTTACTCTATATATTGTATCTTGTTTTGCTTATCAAAATTTGATAATTTTAATCCTAAAATATTAATGACAAGTTTGAATTTACACATGGACAAATTTGCTTATCAGTTGATTTCTTTTTTACTATTTTTTTTTTTTGACTCTTTTAGCAAATTAATCATGATATAAACAAACTTATTCTATATATCTATGCTATATTATAAAGCATTTGATAAAAACTATTTGTTATGCATGAATTACTGTTTATTGATGCATATTACTTAAAATTTAAGATTACAAGTAAATTGTGCTTAAATACAACTTATTAAAGCTCTACTTGTAACTAACTGCAGATAAACATAATCAAATACATGATAAACATCTTATTTTAAATATAAAATATCTAAAATATAATTAGGATAATCATTAAATTCTAACAGAATACTTAATTATTATTTTTATAAAAATTATATTATTAAACCTAAATTAAATTATAATTATAATTAAGAAAAAAATTGAATTAAGGAAATTACACCAAACACAAGAACTTTTAGAAATATTAATTTAATACTGATATCGTTTTTTTTTTAAATTTTATAATATTTTTAAATTTATATTTTATTCAAAAATAAAAACATTATTGTTTTATTAAAACCACATAAAATTATATTATATCGACATAAAAAAGAATAAAATAAACACTGAAATCAAAATATCTCTTGATGCATTGCATGAATACCCTTATAATAATATAAAAAGTTACGAGCAAAATGCATTTTTATGTGTTACATATTTAAGTGGTCAAAAAGATGACTTTTATTAATAAATGTTAGTCGATTATTTGGGGAAATATAAGGACACTTGTTGTTCTCCCATACGTTACTTTCTGAATTTTGTGTCTTTTCCCCCTTCTCCTCCACAAACATAGCCCCATGTGTCCTCCCTACCTGTGGTTTCTGTTTTCAATTGCACATGAAACGCATGCATTAGTTTGTTTACAGTACCATCATCATCATCACGATGGAGATAGAGATGGAGATGGAGATACTGTACTCTTCTTCTGAAATTATAATTATAATTTTTCTTCAATCGTATAACAAGTATTCGGCTACGATTGTCATGATTCCGTATATACTATCCATATTGAGGTGAAATGTGTGGTCTATCTACGTAACAGGAATTCCCCACCACCATTAAAAAAATCTTCACACAACCACCATAAATGGAGGATCATCGTCTTCGATATCCTGCACATCTCATCTTCTTCAATTCTCTCTTGAAATTAACCAGTGATTGATCCATTAGCTACAGAAATGGAGTTACCTGTGATCGATCTGGCGCCGTATGTGGATGTAACCTCCGGCAAGTTCACCTGCGATGAACTCTTGCATCCGGAACTGAAGAAGGTGTGCTCGGAGGTCAGTCGGATCCTGAAAGAAACCGGAGCTCTGCTGGTCAGAGATCCGAGATGTTCAACTGAAGATAACGATCGGTTTATCGACATGATGGAGAAATACTTCGAACAGCCTGAAGAAGTCAAGCGTGTCCAGGAGCGTCCTCACCAGCATTATCAGGTCAACTTCGTCTCCAGATCCTTAACCTAATTTACCTGTATTGTGTTTGTGGATGGATCTGTGCAGGTGAAATCATTGGATTGGGGATTTCTTAGATCCAACCATAAATTTGGAGAAAGTTGATGAATTCTAGCTAAGGGTTTAATGGAAAGAAAACGATGTCGTACATTTACCGGCTCAATTATTCACTCATCCACGTTACTCCACCACCTAATATATAAATGGAGGATGCATGCATCCGATCGGGTCTTAAACGGGTCGGATCAGAGATACCAATTTGATCTGACTTTTGCATAGACTCAATAATTTCTTTAATAAAACAACAAAATACATAATTTGATCAAGTACAAAACTAAACACTGGATTCAAGTTTATCGTATAGTACATGAACTATTTTCCTTTATTTTTATTAATTTTTTTCTTCTATAAAATCTTAAATCGGTAAAATAACACTTGGATAAAACAATTTTTTGTTATTAACCAGTATATCCAGCCCGTTATGCAAGCCGACTAATATCAGGACGACTACCTGCTTTGTAGATAGCCCGAAGTCGCCACATTTGAACCTCCGTGGCCAGAAGGAGATTTTTATTTTTTCTTAGATTTGAATCTGTGACCTTCTGATGTTTTTGATCTTAAAAGTCAAGTTCAAACCAATTAGTCACCGTCATTTGGTTCTTACCTCCTGTTTTTAAAATATCTTTTATTATTGGAATTCGAAATTAGTGATTTTCAATACTCATTTTCAATAATGTCAAAATTGCTATTAATATATAAAATCCCTTTGACCTAGTTGACTCCATGTTTGTGTTGTTTTGTTCACATGCTTTAAATCAAAATTAAGTAGATTTGGACAGATCCGAGTGTTATATACCATTTCATCTAAACTAACTTGTCTATTTTTTGTTCACAATATAAATGGATCTTATCAGATATGACAATTACATCATTATATATCTGATTTGCTTCGATATATTAAAGTGAACCAAAGAATCAAAAACCAATCCAACAAATCAACTCATTCAAAATGAAATTAAATTTATTAATTAGATAAATAATCTAATTGATCAACTGAATTAAAATTCGGATCAGATCCATCTAAAAATTAAATATTTATATACGTAGTATATAAATATTTTTTGCAATATATATATAGAGAGAGAGAGAAGCCTAATCAAATGATAACTAATTAGTTTGTAGTAACCGTGAGGTCCAATCTCAACCACAAATCAATAGATAAATTAGAAAATTTATAATTTTGTTAATTTTAATACAAGGACATTTTAGGTATTTTCTCTCCTCTCTCCTATCTCCTCTCTTCTCTCTCCGTCCCCTGGCCTCCGGCCACCGTCCTCCGGTGATACCACAGTGGTATCACAATGCATCCTATATGTGATTGGGTATCACACTGTGGTCGTTTGTGCGGTCGATCGGATATGTAACACAGTGGTATCACAATGCACCTTATATGTGATTGGGTATCACACTGTGGTTGTTTGTGCGGTCGATCGGATATGTAACACAGTGGTATCACAATACATCTTATATGTGTTTGAGTATCACACTGTGACATCACCGGAGGACGGTGGCCGGAAGATGGGGAGGGAGAGAGGAGAGAGGAGAGAAAATACCTAAAATGTCTTTGCATTAAAATTTTAATTATAAATTACTAAAGTTATTAATTTTCTAATTTATTTATTGATTTGTGGTTAAGATTGGATCTCACGGTTAACACAAACTAACCAGTTTTATGAGACCTTATATATATATATATATATATATATATATATATATATATATATATATATATATATATATATATATATATATATATATTCAAATAAAACATAGGTTTCTTCATATAATCTAAGTATATAATCAGATTGGAGGTATCACTAGATACAAACAAATAACATCTTAATTATTAAGATACAAACAAATAACATTGCTTTTAGTACGACCAATTAACTATAATTATAGCTTAATACATAATATACGGATCGACATCATCGATATTAATCAAGATCATCCCACTTTTCTTATGTTTACCACCCTCCTTTTATCTATTGTATATTTCTTTCTTCAAAATTGTTATTTAAAACATGATACTTTTATAAGAGGGTTGCTATTCATACCCCATTGCATTCGTCATATACCCTTTATATTTCATGCCTCCTTATTTGCTCCCCTCATATTTCTTACCCTCCTCAGTCACATACCACTCATATACAACAAATTATGAATAGATCTAACTTTTCTATAGTTTTAAAATCAATAAATTTTAACAAAGAGGTAACTACAAATTTGGTCTGTGTAGTTTCAAAATTACAAGATAACTATCGTGATTTACAAAAACGTTTGGGTTTGGTCCCTCCTTTAACAAACATTAAAAATTTCTTTAAACAAGGGGTATTTTTGTTTTTTTATCAATCATAATTGATTTTATGATTTTGGTCCCTATTGGTTTTGATTGGGTAAAAGATAAAAAAAGGGGATAAAAATGTCCATTATTTTTAATAGAATTTTTTTTAACGGCCGTTAGAGGGATTTACCAAATCCCGACGTTTTTACAAACCACGATAGCTATCTTGTAACTTCAAAACTGTAGCGACGAAATTTTTTTTTTTTTTTTGACAAACTAGAGGGACCAAATTTGTAGTTTACTCTTTTAACTACAAAAATAGATAGAGATGAAAATTTTACATGTTGGGGCAGGAATTACTCAATTTGACGGGTAACAAGGCAGGGACATGAATTTATTTCCATACCCTAAGCGGGGTCGGGGCATGGTTGGAGATGAGATTACCAGCTCCTATTCTTACCTGATTAATTTTTTATTCTATTTAATATGTGTGTACATTTATTATTAAATGATTAAATATATTTGATCTTCAATATCTATACTATATTATAAAACTTTTGGTAAAAATTCTTAAAAATCATTTTTTATGCATAAAGTACTGTTTATTAATGCATGTTACTTAAAACTCAAGATTACAAGTAGATTGTGCGTAAGTACAACTTACTAAAGCTCCATATCTGAATTCGTATAACTAACTGCAGATAAATGTAATCAAATACATGATAAACATCTCATTTTAAATTATAAAAAATCTAAATATAATTAGGATAATCATTAAGTTCTAACAGAATACTTAATTATTATCTTTATAAAATGTTATATTATTAAATCAAAAATAAATTATTTCATTATTAAACTAAAATTAAATGGCAAAATGCACAAAATAGCAATCTACTTTCATAAATTTCTTTATTATAACATTGTATATTCAGTTTTTCTTATTACAACAATGTACTTTCAAATTATTTTTTATTAGAACATTGTACTTTGAAAATTTTACCCATTATAGTATTGGGTAACCTTTTGATTTAGATTTACCCATTATACCAGGTTTTCATGCCACCTCATTGTCCACGTAGGTTGCCCACATGTACTATAGTGATGTGAGTTTCTTACTACATCATTGTACTTTCAAAATTATTTTATTATAGTATCTACTAGTTATTATTAAACACTGTATTTTTAATTTTAATATTTAAATATTTTACATGTTATTTAATAAATGAATAAAAAAAATTCTAAAATATTCATTAATATACAAATATCAATAAAACTAGTAGAACACAATTTATCTCGCTAATATTAAAAAAAATGTGTTTTTTGAAAAAAAGAAAAAAAGAATTGTTTCTTTTATACCAAAAAATATTATCTTTTAAAAACTATATTATATTTGTTCAAAAACTTTTACTTGACGTATAAATATGTTAAATTAATTAGATTTTTTTGAATTATTTATTAATAAAAAAATATTAAAAATTGTATAACACAATTTATTTTTATTAACATTTTAGAGAGAACTTTAAAAAATATGTATTTATTTGAACAAAATAAAATAAGAAGAGATACCCTTTTTACAAACAAAATATATTTCGAAAATAATGTTTCATATTTATTTAATAAATATTTTACTCTAAGAATATTTAATTTGCATGCAACTTAATTAGAAAAAGTCAAAAAAGTTAAATATTTTTTTAGATCATAACAATGAAAAATGAAAATCGCTTAATAATAATTTGAAATAAGTTTTTCTTTTTATTTTAGTTAAATCATCAAAATGATGTATCATCCACATCACCTCATTAAAGCCATACAAGCAAAAAAAGTCAAAGAGTTAACCGGTTTAAAAGGTAATAGGTTACCCATTGCTATAATGGGTAGATTTTTTAAAGTACGAAGCCTTAATAAAAGATAATTTGAAAGTATATTGCTGTAATAAAGAAAAACAAAAGTAGAATGCTATAATAAGAAAACTTATTACATAAAAATGAGAACTTTTAAATAGTTGATTTGATATTAACATTGATATATTTTTTTTTCAAATTTTTATGATATCTTCAAAATTATATTTTATTCAAAAATAAAATCATTATTGTTTTCTTAAGAACACATAAAATCGCATTATAACATTGACATGAACAACGAATAAAATAAAACATTAAAATCAAAATGTATCTCGCTGCATTCCGTGAATACCCTTCTGGTTGATAATAAACATAGTGATAATCCATATAATTTTAATTTAAAATATTTTCTTTTAGTAAATGGGTACCCACCAGGAATTCTTTTCCCAGGGGATTGATTGGGACGAGGTCGGGTCGGGGATGCATTACCAGTCCACTGCTCACCCCATTTTCCATCCATAAAAATAGTAGGGGTGTGTCAAATCAGCTGGTCCAATCATAATCGACCCATCATAATTTGATTGGATCAGATTGAAAATTTCAACATCTAAATTGGATCGGTCGAATCTTGGATGGCAGTCCAGAACTGACTAAAATCGACCGAACCTAACCGACCAACATCTAATTATCCATCCAATTAATCAATCGATTACTATACACTTATCCATCCAACTATCATCCAATTACTTAGTTTTCAATTTGTTTAAATCTGATTTCTTTTGTGTTGGTTTTTGAATTTTTAGTCTCACGTATGTCTTTTTAACATATATTAAGAGTGATTAATCGATTTTTTCATCGTTGGAAAATTGATTAAATTAACACATTGATGGATCCTATCTGATTTGATCATCCATTGGATGTAGGATGAATCCAATCCAATGGATATCCAAGAAGAATATGCAATGTATGGAATCAATCCAATCCAATCATTAATTGTATAAGATTGGATCGGTTGTCTAATGTTAATCAGATTGAATCGGTTGACAAAATCCAATATCTAATATATGTTAATCAGTTCAATATCTTTCACATTCAATAGATATCATAAGTTATGCTTTAAAAAGTTGAATTCATGAAACCAATCATGTTTTGAAAAGCAAAACTACTTGTACTTAATAACACTTTATCATAAAACAGGATCATATTCTTAAATTTTTTGTTGTGACTTCGAGTACATAAAACATGAGTGGTTGTTAAAGTATGTCGTCACAAAACCACTTAAAATCAATTTAAAAAAAAAAAAAAACTATTATCATAAAACCAATCAAATTTTTATCATAATTTTGAATTTATTCATAAAATTATGATGTCATAAAACAAATCATGTATAAAAAAGGTTGTCTTGATAAAAGGTTATTTTTTTTTAAAAAAATCGATACAAATACGAGTTTATCGTTAAAAACTTACTTTTAATCTTAAATTTTTTGTCTTATCTATCTATATTATATATTATAAAGTATTTGACAAAAACTCTTAAAAACCATTTTTTTATACATAAAGTACTGTTTATTGATGCATATTACTTAAAATTCAAGATTACAAGTAAATTGTGTATACGTACAACTTATTAAAGCTCTATGTTTGAATTCGTATAACTAACTGCAGATAAATATAATCAAATAGAAGATAAACATTTCATTTTAAAATATATAAAATCTAAAATATAATTAAGATAATTATTGAGTTCTAACAGAATACTTAATTATTATATTTATAAAAAAAATATTATGAAATGTAAATTAAGTTACTTCATTACGTTAAATTAAATTATAAATAAAAAATTTGAATTAAAAAAATACATAAAAAACTTTTAAATAGTTAATTTGAAACTAATATTGATATACTTTTGGCAAATTTTATATAATATTTTTAAATTTATATTTTATTCAAAAATAAAAACATTTCGTTTTCTCAAAACTATATAAAATCGTACTATATCAACATAGATTATTAAAAAATAAAACGTAACATTGAAATCAAAATATGTATCGATGCATTGCACGAATACCTTTCTAGTAATAAAAATATAATAATGTATTTTTTTATCTATTTAAAATATAAATAAATTGAGTTAAAATTCAAGTTATTTATATGCCTAAATATCATAATAATCGATTAATTAGCTTTTCATGATATTTTTTTAAAAATTAAAAATTGATTAATTAGTATTATGTTCTAAAATTTAAACAAGAAAAGTAAAATTGAAAAATGAAGTACACCAACATAGGAATTCGAACTTTTTTCAATCATCAGTTTGTTGGGTTTTGAAGTCTCTTCAAGATTCTGTTTCCGTCAAAGATCAATGGGTTCGACTGGTTTAATTCATCGTCAAATTTTGGTTCCAAACTACTCAAGAATTCAATTTGTAAATCTCTCCATGGAACACAGGTTGGTTCGACACCAGGAGGAGTCGAAATTCCCCGAAGCTTGGTCGACATGGAAATGCAAAAGAAGTTGAGAGCATTGCCGGAAGATCGCCGGCCGGCAATTCCAACTGGTCCTGATCTTAAATCGCGATACATGTGGAGGGTTGGCCCTCGACCAACAAAAACTCGATTCCAGGTTCAGTATCTGTCGTCTTTTTCAAAATCATCAGTTTATTGGATGATTCTTGTTGTTAATCATTTTCTTATGTAGGAATTGAACTCTGCGCCCGTCCTACCAGAAGGGTTTCCCGAGTGGAAAAAGATCATGGATTCTTGGGGTTTCAAAATGATATCCACTGTAGAGGTGTGTTAATGGTACTTGCGTCCTATCTGGTGTTATTTTATGTTTCTTGATTCTCATACAATTCAGCTCGATTTGCTCAGGCTGTTGCTGAAATGGCAGCAATTGGATTTGACCTACCAAAGGATTCATTCACTAATTTAATGAAGCTGGTGAGTTGTGTTTCTTGATAGATTTATGTGTTGATTGTGGAAACACCCACCATCTGTTTGTTAAATTGTTGCAATGAGCCCTTTTTTTTGTGTTCTCTTCATAAGTATATTGAAAGATTACTTGCTGTGAACTACAATAATGGATGATTTCTTGTGATCTTTGCAACTTCAAATACAATCGAACCAAATATGTTTGAATTGCAGGGTCCCCATCTTCTTGCTCCAACAGGAAGTGATCTCGGAAGCCATGGAGAAGAAGGAACTGTGTTTGCAGCATACCATTATGACATCAACTTTCTAACGATCCACTATAAAAGTAAATTCCCCGGCTTAAGTATTTGGCTAAGGAATGGGGAGAAAGTAGAAGTGAAGGTTCCTGATGGGTGTTTACTTATTCAGGCCGGCAAACAGGTAACACAGCTAGCGACAAGTGATTTCCGCTCCACCATTATGTTACTTTCACATTTCAGTTTGCATCTTTTGATCAAGTTTTTTGGTTTATATAGTGTTATTATTAGCCTTTCATGATGGCAAAGAAATCCGAGTTTCATGATCTTGTTTTACCATTTGCAGTTAGAATGGATGACTGCTGGAGACTGTAAGGCTGGTATGCATGAAGTCGTTGTAACTAGCAGCACCCTTGAAGCAATTAAAGCGGCACAGGAAGAAAATCGAAGCCTCTGGAGGGTATCCTCAACGGTGAGTCAACTGATCTTTAGCCAAAATCAGTTTTATAGGATACCACAGATAGACGTCTAAATATCTTAATAGCGTGTTTTATAGGACTTAAGTTTATATGACCAAACAATAGTGTGTTCTATCAAAAGATGTAATAGAACCTCACAAATGTTCTATCAAGTTATTGTAAGACATTTACATACGACACAATTGTTTGGTCCCATAAACTTAATGTAAGCCCTATGAACAATTGCTTGATCCTATAAACTTAAGTCATATAATACAGTATATTAGAGTAGTTAGACATAACATAACAAAATGTGAACCATTTCAAACGTATAACTCCATTTGAACTCAAATTTACTTAATTTGGCGTCGTTTTGGTAGCTATTTTCCAATGTAGCATCGGATGCAATGTTGAAGCCTCTAGGCCATTTTGCAAACTCGCCTCTTGCTGAGAAATACCCACCAATGCACGCGGGAGATTATTTTGAAAAAGAACTTTCCGTGATCAATCTTAAAGGAAAGAACGAGGTGCATTAGATTAGAATGAAGTGCGTTCGAGTGAAGAAAGATCGTATTGTTGCTTGGAAGGTGCCAAGGCGAATAAACAAGGTTTGTTTCGTTCAAAGTGTGTTTGCTATATATATATGTATGTATGTATGCGATTTCCTTTCTTTATTATGTAAACCATGCTTGCTAAATGTAAAACTCAGTAATATGTCGTGATTTTCGGACGCACTTGCGAATAAAATCAATTCATGTTGGTTCTCCTATTATATATTTGATGATGACACTTTAAGCTGATTAACACTTACAGACTATTTGGTTTGTTTTTTTATTAAGTCTTGTATTGATAAAGTTGTCTGTATGGCGTAATCTGTTTGTATAGGTTGAGAAGATTTTTGTTTGGGAGGTTGTTTTTTATAGATGAAAAGCATGTGTTTTTAACCGGGAGGAACAAGTTTGCAAAAAAATTGGCTTTCGCCTAAACCTCCCTCCAAAAAGCTTACTAAATAAGCCACTTTCTATATCATTAAGTCACTACCAAACTGTCGTTTATAGCTGAACCAAGAAGTTGTGAGTGCTACTAAACTTATTAAGAACACAAGTGTCGTTAAACATTATTGATATGAATTACATCAATATCATTATATATGAAAAAGTTGATACATAAACATCACGTCATTATCGCGTTGGTTTTTTTAGCAACTAATAACATTTTTTTTGATTAAAATGAACGAACAACTAAACACAGTTTTTAAATATCGATTATTAATTCAAACTAACGGTTAAGACACTTGTGATAGAATTTTATATGAAGATTTAAAAAAAAATTAAATATATCATACAATCAATTATTATATATAAATCTATAAACAAATAGCAAAAAATTTAATACATCAAAATGTGTTGACTGAAATTATGTATTTATTCATTTATATAATTATAAACCATAAATGCGGAAACGCCCTCCGCTGCAAAGGTGCAGGTGGGGTACCACCAGTTTCCTTAGCCAAGTTCACCCTCAATAGTATTAGAGCCAAGGTCCACCAATCTAATGGGTAATGACTCGACCATCCGGGATAATTTGTGCTTGTCTAGCCTTTTATTGGAGAAGGCTTGTTAGAGTCCCACATCGACTAGACTTGGGTCATTTCTCATCAATATATGTTGAAACATCCATTCTCCCTAAAGGGCTTTTTTGTAGAGTAATCCAATGGGATTCCACATATTCTCACACTGAATTCAATATGAAAAAACATGAATTTGGAATTGATATGGATTTTGTTACACACTTGATTCACAATTTTTGCTACTTTATGGTACTTGACATGAATTGCAACATGGTATACTCTTCTTTCGGGAAGGAGGGAAGCAGAAAAAGAAATTCAATTACACAATTTCAGACACGAGGTTACCTGAGTCGTGGCATCAACATGCTCTACGAAGATGTGCAACAGCTGAACTTGGTTACTCTGGATACGGGGTCCGGACCAGGAACAAGAATATCGGTTCCCTTAAGGAGGGCGGAATTACCTTCTGCTTCTTCATTAGCGACAAGAGATTTCTTACTGACTGTTCGATAAATCTCAGTAAGGATGGTGAGAAAAGCTGGTTCCACGTTTGTGGCCTCAAGGGCAGATGTTTCCATGAAAAAGAGACCTTCCCTTTCGGCAAATTCTTTTGCGTCCTCGGTGGATACATCACGTTGGGAATCCAAGTCAGATTTGTTGCCGATGAGCATGATGATGATGTTATTATCAGCATGGCCTCTTAATTCCTCCAACCACCTGGCTATGTGATCAAATGATTGACGTTTGGTTATGTCATAGACCAGCATTGCTCCCACGGCTCCTCTGTAGTAAGCACTAGTCACAGCTCGGTATCTGTGATTATTAAACAACAAGTAACAACTTCAATATAAATGCATTTCTAATTTGAAACTCACATATTCAGCCAACATAGGTTCCCCTGATAATAACAATATTTGGCAACATGGTTATATATTAATTCTGCAAGTTGGTGCATATTTACCATGGTTACATATGGTATACCAGGGGATAAATATCAGCTAAATTTTCAAAACATCGGCTGAGATTAGGCCAAGAAGTACATTCAACGGCATGAGGGGACTACCATGGGGACTCAAGATCAAAGGCGCCCAAGTCTCCACCTTGACCGTTATGATGTGCATAGATATTATTCCAAGTTGCAAGATTTGTTAAATCAATATAAGTATCCCAATTCCATTATGAATAAACAACCAGAGAGTAGCATGCTAGAAGACTATAATCCAAAAATGTCGATGCAAAGTCATATATGCTGATATTTTAAGTTATTTGTTTAAGCACATGACTAATAAACCAGTTTAAAGTATTAAACCAGTATATCCCACTAGGAAGTAGGGTCTGGGAGGGGTAAGATGTACATAGACCTTACCTCAACCACCAGGATCGAGAGGCTGTTTCCGTGAATTAAGCACATCACCAGTGACGAGTTTAAAAGGAACTATGAAATGATACAAATGTACTCCTGGCACTTTATAAGTCATTTATGGTGGTTTATGGCTGTTGGTGATTTTGGATGAGATTTCCCATGGGATTCAGGGGAGTGTCTCATGGTGTATGCTATTTGTCTAGCAACATCACATTGGTAGTTGATGCGAAAAGAGAGAGGTGAAAGTTAAGTTGGAAGCAGTGGACAGCATCATCGGAGACAAAAGGCTTGTGAATCAACCGCTCTAAGACCGAATACTATGGTGAAATTTCAGCAGGGAGCATAACGAGGGAGTAGAAGTCAACGTTGAGGAACAAAGGACGCCCAAAAGAACAGTTTCAAGTATCTAGGCTCCATGATAGATGAGGGAGATGTCGAAGCCGATGTTACACACCACATGAGGTTGGAATGAGGATGTTGAAAGGATGCTGAACAAAGTTTTAAGAGCAGAGCTAGGACTTGCACCCAATCACAGATAAAATGGGAGAGGGAAGATTGAAGTCATTTGGGCACATTAAAAAAAACATAGTTGTCGGCATTGGTGAGGAGGGTACAGAACGTAATAATCAAGAGGGTGAGGGCGTAAGACAAGAAATTGAGGCACATAGAATTCTACTACAGAAGCAACAAATGTGCTATAACTGTATTAGCCAATTTTCAAGTTATTCATAACAGTGAAACACCAATAACCACATTCTAAAACAACAATGACAATAAGATGAAGCAAATCTAAATGTCACAACAACCATGTGGAAAGTGATATATGTTGCAGAGTCCGTAGCATATGCTTTCAGCATAAGTTTCCTCAACTTCGTACACAGGTATTTCAACCATTTATGTGCAATCAAATTTTAACTTTCATCCCCTGATTTATATGCTCTATAAACGGTGGAAACTGTGAAATACGGTTCGGTTCCTCAATCATTTTGGAACCATTCATAAGCTTTTGCTTGGCTATTATAAAAGTAAAGGCCGTCATCTGGAGAATTTTGGGCATTGAATTTACGATTTCATCATGAATTGGTATTTATTTTGGTTCAGTGGCATCCCATGACTACAAAACTTCTTTGGTGACAATACCAAATTGTCTGCACTTCTAAACATCCATTTGTGAATCCCTTCTACCCACAGGTTCTTGATTCATGAAGAGACACCCCTATCAAGACAAACAAAAAGAACCCCAGTTGGGAATTCAATTGTCTCACCCCAATGAAGGCTTTTCTTGATTCATTCTCATCATAGCAACACATAATCAACATATATATATATATATATATACATATATATATATATATATAGAGAGAGAGAGAGAGAGAGAGAGAGAGACTTCAATTCACCCTTTGCGACCAATCTGCCTCTCATCAACATCTCAACTTCTCTAAGATAATTTACGGAGAAACATAAATTGACTACAGTGGAAACTCGAAACAAACATTTGGCTCGTTTACTCAAACTCGAAAATGGAAAGATTTCAAGAACCAAACAAGTATTCAACTAAGCAAAAGAGTATCGTCGGTGATCTCAAGTTTATAGATATAGAGAAAAGAGAAGGAGCAAACACCTTTCTTGACCAGCCGTATCCCAAATCTGAGCCTTAACGTTCTTGTGATCAATTACCATAGTCTTGGTCTGGAACTCAACACCAATCGTTGCCTTGGAATCCAAACTAAACTCATTCCTGGAAAAACGAGCCAACAACTGAGATTTACCCACAGCAGAGTCCCCAATCAGTACGATCTTAAACACATAATCAATCTTCTGGCTAAAATCCCCATGGTAATTCGCCATCTCTCATCAAACAATATATCAAACAAGATCAAAGAAACACCTCCGAATTAGGTATGAAAGAAACTCAACCGATGAGGAAGTAAATTGATCAATCGCTTATCAAAAAGTTGATAGATTATGGTTCAGGCGGCAGGTATGATCATGTGTGTTTGGTGTGTGAGGGTTTGGGTATGGAAAGGCGAAGAAGACGACGAACAGCAGAAAAATAAGAGAAGAGAAAAGAAAGCCGCGTATGTGTAAGCCAACGGCTTTGTCTATGAGCCGCCTTGTTTTAACTGCTCTTCAAGGTACAAGTTTCTAATGCATTGACCAAGCATTTCTTTGTAGGGTACAAACATCCATTGCATATTTTACCACGGTGTTTAAATAGAAAATCACATGAGATTTGTAATTTTATTATGTAATATAATAATGATGAAATAGAGTTGTACCAAAAGAATATTTTTGAATGTCTTTATAATATTTAAAGTTATAATAATTATATAATATTTGATAAACTATAATAAGACTTAAAAATCTGAACTCTGAAATCTTTTTTTAGACTTAAAAAAAGAAGTCTGAAGTGTTGTTTTTTATATGATTAACTTGGATATTCAATCCGTTATGCGAGCCGACTAATCTCAGGATGACCACCTGCTTTGCAGATAGTCCGGAGTCATCGCATTTGAACCTCTGTGGCTACAAATGGATTCTTAATCCTCTTTGGATTTGAACTTGGGACCTCCTGGTACTTTTGACCATTGGAGTCAAGGTCAAAACAATTAGGCACCACCCTTGTGGTTTGAAGTCTTGTTTTCAGACTTAGAAGTCTGAACTCTTCTACAATTCTGAAGAGTACAAGTCTGAAGAGTCATTTTTCAGAGTTAGCTCACATGAATTCTGAAGTCTTCTTTTTCAGGCTTAGCTCACACGAAATCTGAAGTCTTTTTTTCAGACTTAGAAGTCTGAACTCTGATTTAATGGGATTGATTTTATACTTTAGAGTTATTTCATGAGTACAAGTCTGAAAAGTCATTCTTTAGAGTTTTGTTTTCAAAATTATTTCCAGAGTACAAGTCTGAATAGTCATTCTTCAGACCCGCCTTATTTGACAGGAACCGGAACCGGCGGTTCTTGAGATATTGGAACCAGAACCGGAACCGGTTAGTGCGGTTCTTGAATTTTTGGAACCGGAACCGCCGGGAACCGATTTCGGTTCCGGGTACCCGCTTTCTAAAATATTAAAATTTTGTTATTTTGAAATAAAAAATAAAACATTGCCAGAACACTAAATAAATAAACAAGAATACAAATTATATGGAATAATGGTTACAAAGATTGTTTAACGATTATAAACTATAATAGACTAATAGTAAATGTTGAAAGTTTAATGATTACATACTATAATTGTAAATGTTCAAAGTTTAACGATTACATACTACGAATCCAATTAAACACACAATTTGAAAAAATACAAATCATTTTATCTCAAATTCTGAATCTAAAGTTCTTGACCTAATTTAAATTTAGTATTTAAAAAAATTAAATATTATTATTTAATTGAAAAATACCGGGTACCCGCCGGTTCCGGTTTAGGGTACCTGCCGGTTCCGGGTATCCGCCGGTTCCAGGTACCCGGAAACGGTCATGGCAGGTATACGGCGGGTAACGGTTCCGAAAATTTGAGAACCAGAACCATTCTCAATTGGTTCTGTATTTTAGGAACCGGAACCACTCATATTGGTTCCGGTTCCGGAACCGGCAGTTCCGGTTCCGCAACTGGGTACCGGTTCCGCTGCTCACCCCTAATTTCAATAGTACAAGTCTGAAGTCATTATTCAGAGTTTTAATTCAGAGTTATTTCAAGAGTACAAGTAATAAGTCATTCTTCAGAGTTATATTTCAGAGTTATTTCAAGAGTAAAAGTCTGAAGAGTCATTCTAAAAAGCTAGCTCACCCGAACTTTGAAGTTTGCCTTATATATATATATATATATATTTCGTACGTGTGCATTACGCGCACACACATACATATTGTGGGGTTCAAAAAAAATGATATCTATCAATCATCCGATTAATTGATTCAAAAGATATGATTGAATAGATATTTACAACAATATTTTTTATATTAAAAAAACATCACCTCCACCTATTTTGTATTCGAGAAAAAACATAATATAAAGAAAAATCGAGCGAAATAGATTACAACAAAAAACAATCATATACTCTTATGCTATGACGGGTAGATGTAGCAGTAGCGGGTCATCATACGAGTCAAGAGCGGAGGTACGTTGGTTATATTGTTATAAACTTTCTCATTACTAAAATTGCGAACAAATTACTGATTTCGAAGAATATTAAATATTTACAGGTAACGGAGTTGAGAGAGAAGTTGTCAAGGGTAGAAGAGGAACTCGAGACCGAAAGGAAGAATATGGCAGATTTGGAGGCCAGACAAGCTGCCTCGGCAGCTGAAAAGGCCAGACAAGCTGCTGCATTAGCCCAACAGGCCGCATTATCGGAGCATTTTGTTGCGTTTATGCGGCAGTCAGGATACGTTTTCCCACCTCCCCCCGATAGTTAGATTGTATGTATTCGAAGATTAAATTGTATGAATTGAATATTAAATCGTATGAATTCGAAGATTAAATTATATGAATCCATATTTTAAATCGTATGAATTGGTTACTTTGTTCACAGATTTGATTTGTTATATATTATTATTTCCTCCAGGTTTTATATAAATACAGGATTTATGCATCTTTAAAAAATTTATTTTTTAATTTTATACAAATTTGCGACGGATTAGCGAGGGAAAATCCGTCGCTGAAAGTCCTTGAAATTCCCTCGCAGATCCGTCGCTGAAAGTTCCGTCGCAAATCCGTCGCTGAATTTCCCTCGCAGATTCGTCGCTGAAACTTCCCTCGCAAATCCGTCGCTGAAACTTCCCTCGCAGATCCGTCGCTGAAAGTTCCGTCGCTGAAAATTCCGTCGCAGATCCGTCGCTGATATATCCGTCGCAGATCCCTCGCTGATATATCCGTCGCAGATCCCTCGCTGATATATCTGTCGCAGATCCCTCGCTGATCCGTCGCTAAATACTTTCCTCGCTGATCCGTCGCTGAAAGTGTCCATCGCAAATCCGTCGCTGATATCCGTTGCTGATCCGTCGCTGATAGCATTACCTACGACTGTTTGACCGACGGAGTATCAGCGATGGATCAGCGACGAATTGCCCCATCAGCTAGGGATTTGCGAGGGATTTTTCCCTCGCTGATACTCTGCTTTTTTGTAGTGTTATCAAAAGTGTCATGTAGAAAAGTTAATACGACACTTTAATTAAAAATATCCTAAATAAATGTTAAAAAAAACCCCCAAAAAATGTCTTATAAACATATCGCAATGCTTTTAGATATAATGTACAATTGTTCAGACAGCAGTAGACCCAACATTTTTCTCGAACAGACCTTTAAAATGGATCAAAGGACCATAAAAGTCGTCCGATGTATTTTTAGTCGAATTCCATCTTTTCAAGGGATTTTTTAAAGTCCTTTTGTTGATCTCGATAGGCTTTTTCGGGTTTTTAGTTGATTTCAAGAGACTTTTTTAATTTTTTGGTCGATGTCCCTTGTATTTTCTAATATCCGTCCCACCCTTCAAAGTTTAACTTATGCACCTTTCATACAACAAAAAAATCTATTTATGAAAATCGATTGAACTGACTTCATCACGATGCACCATTTTTGGTTCATAAACATGAGTTAAGAGAGAAATCGTCGCCGAGGAAACAATTTTTGTCTTTCTTGTCATGCATAGTGGGAATGTTTCTTTTAACGATTCATTGTTGGACACTACCATGACGATGCATTTTTAGTGACAAATTTTACCAACTAYTAATAKTTCRYTGGAATTTAYGATGGAGAACTGATATATTACCGATAACATGATATTTCACATGGTTTTATCGACAATTATCAAAACCGATGGTGATCCATTAGTAAAATATGAATTTTGTTAAATGATTTTTGGCCTCCAAACAACCGTCACTGAGAACGCCTTTGAAATTTTTGTCGCTAATGATAGCCTTCGGTAATCCGTCAGTGAAAGTGGTTTAATGCAAATCCTTTGGTGGTATACGAGTTGTCGTATCCGTCGTTAAATGTAGTCATTGGAAATCCGTCAGCATATTAATCTTCTGTTGATTGTTGCAATGCAAGAAAGAGAAAATAAGAGGTAAATAACTATAATATTTAAATTATTCGGTTTTATATGTAGGTATAAAAGAAGGTGGGTTGAATTTCGGTAAAAATGAGAGTTAAGATGAGAGGCGTAAGAAGGTATCCCCACCCTTGGGTGCATATTGGGATAAGATGCATTAAGATCAGATGCACCGAGATGCACAAGATCAATCCCCGTATCAAGCGCGATTCATGGGTGGGTTTCGATATAAAAATAAATGCTTAACTGTTTTTATAATGGTGGAGTTAATTAATTATGAAAAAATGTAGCCGCCTTTATCACTAGGCATGGGAATGGGGCAGGGAACCCAATCTCTATCTTTGTCTCTACCGGAGAATATGATCACATTCTCATTGTTCAAACTAGAGATATCCAAAGATTTACTTTATTGAAGTCGTAAACAGAAAGAGCATAAAGAAAAACATATTACAATATACGTGTATACAAAGATCTAACTCTAATAATATGAACAAAATGAAAGCTAAACAAATGAACGGATGAAAGAATATAACAAGAGCTATAGAGAGAGAGAGAGAACTTTTATATAGTTTTACAGAAACGCCAAATTTGCCCCTTCAAGATTCATATATCAGACGCCGTTATCCTTCAACTTCTTCCATAAATGAGGCGCATTCCTCCTCTTTTCCAAACAACAACATTTTAAGCACTTGATAATATCTACCCTAATCTGTTGTCATTTTATCAAATAAGGACAAACAAAAGTCAAGTTAGATAAGATTGCAAAATATATATATATTTATACACGCACACACACACACACACATATATATATAGGGAAGGGTTCAAACGAGAACCCCTGTGATTTACGAGAACGCGAGAACAACCCAATAACCTCATATTCTGATAAAAAATAAAATTAAAATATTTTTAAAATTAAAATTGAAATTGAAAAAGATTAAAAAAAAATTAAAATTAAAAAAGTAATAATGAAAATGATATCATCAAATCTTTTAAACACGATCATTTTTATCATTAACCTTATCATTATCTAGTAAACGGTTAA